GACAGGATGGATAGAAACTGAGGATATTCTTTACCATTACTTTTTTTTCGATTGACAGGGACTGTGGTAGCACTGTTGTAATTTTCACGAAACCTAAAAGTCAAATCTGGTACTGTAACATGAATCATTCTGCCTGTTGTAGCCAGTCTCAAAAATGGATCTGTCGGCAGTAATCTTTTTGCTCGAAAAAGTACATTAAGTTGATTTTTGGGAATACTATTTTAAAAACTATAACAGTTTTATCTGAAGCTATTAGAATGAAACTGCAGCCCATCCAAAGTGTTTCAGTTCCACAGCTTTAAGTGTAGGATGAACGGTTTGATTTCTCGCCAACTTTTCCTTTCGTTGACAGTGCATCGAACCTCTTATTCGGCGGGTTTGTTTACAGAGGGTTTAACTACTCACAAAAAACATCTAAGAAGAATGTCATCAGAAGTAGAAAAAGCGCAGGTTGCTAAAAATGAAGAGGATACAATTTTTGGTAAGATCGTCCGTAAAGAAATCCCGGCAAAAATCATTTTCGAGGATGACCATGTAATCTCTTCTTTATTGATAATAAATTCAGCCCTATAGTAATTTTGTCCATTGAAAATTGTTTGACTTATTATTACTTACTATGGTTTTTTAGGTAATGGCATTTCATGATGTTTCTCCGCAAGCGCCAGTGCACTTTCTAGTGATTCCAAAAAAACGCATTGATATGCTGCAAAATGCGACGGAGGAGGTATGCTTTAGTTTTCCAATAGAGTACGTTAAACCACTCTAAACAGGAAAACATGGCAAAATAGCGTCTTCCATATGGCTATTTTTTCAACAGAATCAGAAAGGCATCGAAATTCCCGATACGATACCGCCTTCTGCAGTTTAATTTCAAAACGGGCCATCAAGCACCGTTGTACGACTTAAGTAATATTGTGGGTCAGAAATGCCCATGTTTTTTTAGGATGAAGCGTTACTTGGGAAACTTATGCTTGGCGCAGCAAAAGCAGCCAAAATGTTGAAGCTAGAAAAAGGGTACAGGGTTGTCGTCAATAACGGTCGACACGGGTGCCAAAGTGTTTTTCATTTACATCTCCATGTGCTGGGTGGACGTCAACTAGGTTGGCCTCCTTGCTAAGTTGTATTCGTTGTTACTGCTAATTTCTGCTATCCATGTCAGTAATGTGCTTTTGTTGATTAGGATTTATGCAATTTAATAATTTTTAAACTTGGTTTGAGTGCGATATGGTGAAGTCGAATTGTTCTTGTGTTCTTTTTTATCCTTGTTTCATTGATACTTCAGCGGATATTTCACCTCTGTTGCTTGGGACATAGAACCTTACGTCCTTCACGCTTTTTCTGCTGTTGAAATTTATCGATTATAATGTTTTGGTCAAGAAGTGTTAGAATGTTAAATAAAGGAACAACTTTTTTCCCAATTTTCATTGCTTACAAAAAATTATGTATAAATTTACTTGGCACTGTAAGTAGTTTTTTGTTCATAGTCGTTGTAAAAATTATCAGCTGTTTTAAATTCACATCGCACTTCGTTTTTATTAATATACTGTACGTGTGTTCAGAAACAAATTGCCTTTAGTAAATCTCTTCTTCATCTTCCGAAACTTCCCAACAGCTTGTTTTTCTGCTTCCCGCATTAGTTCGCTTTTTCGGCAAAAAGTGGTCTTCTTGTTTTGTCCAGGTACAGCAACAGGCAGCAGCCAAACGATCGAGTTGCACAGAAATCTACATGGTAAAATTCGGTTATGAAAAAAATTTTCCATCTGGGGGATTTTTTAGCGCTTTATTTCATTTTTTAATTGAAAAAGTTTAAATTTTCAACTACTGGTCTTGCTAAGTATTTAGATTAAGAAGAGCCTGTTGACCAGTGGCTTTTTGAACGCCTTTTAGTAATTACAACAAACGAATTGAACTTATAGTAGCCACTATCATGAAGTTTCTGTAGTCTTTGCTGGAGTCATGAAATAAATGATAGGTGCGTACTTTATATTCTTCTTGTCTGAAACTCTGTATTAAGGCAGTTCTGAAGTAAAGCAGGAGCTTAACATGACTGGTAAAATAAAGGCTCATTAAATAGGATTTTTCTGACATTGCCGAGACAGGACGTGCTGGAGATCAGACTTTCACCTTAGTGTTTAAGGTACGCTTGGCATTATCAAGCTGCAATCAGAAAGTGAGGAGTTATACTTTAGTTGAGGAAATAGGGTTTTTCAACTTTAAAAAGATGTTTTCACTTGACATTTCAGGTGTGTATTTCTAATGAAATTGGCTTAGTATCTTTCTAGAAATTACTAGCATTAGATTAAGAAAAATCTGCTCCTGCAAAAAAGGCACGGGGAAACTGAGGAAGGAGACTGGTTTCATAAAGAACTTCAGTGGTTGGGCAAAAGTATTATTCAAAAGTTCTTCTGTGTGCTACAGCTAGATTACGGGAAAGAATACAGTTTCTAAAGGAAAATCACTCGTTTCTTGCTTCAGTAAAGCATTTTTATGCGCCATTTTAACTTATTTGCTCGACTTTTACCCATCACAAATTCACCATTTCCAGCCGTTTGTTAGTACTTGATGCTGTGTATAATGAGCCATCTCATTCAGGTGAAGATGAAAAAAAAAACAGTTTGTAGGTCGCGTTACTTTTCTGAAATATGTTAATAAAAATAGTTTAAGTTTTTACCCTAACCCTCTATGACTTCTGATCCTTTCAAATGGCATTAACCCACTGAACATATTAGTTTTAGTTTGCCTGAAAAATAGAGGGTTGGACGGAAGGATATCTTGTAATTTCTTGTAAACTTTTCAGCTTATCGCTCAGTTTCAAGCATAGGGTTTTTTTGTTGTTTCCGTAATGGGTAATTTTGTCCCTTCTTCCCACAGGCTTCGCTATCTACTTCTCTATTCACTCTTAGCCTAGTAAGCCAAGGACTTCACAGCAGCTCCTCAACTAACCTTGAACTTAAAGAATTAAAGCCTTTACTCTTAACATAGCGCTTCCAAAGAATTCGTTCTTTCGTTGAGAATCTGTGTTTTACACGACACACTGACCAATGCTATTGATTTATTGTTCAGGGTCCTCTATAGAGTTTACCGTTTGGTACTTAATATCACATATCACTTCACTCCCTGTTACACGTTCCTATTACATGCGCTAAAAAAAATAACAGTTCTCATTACTCAAAAAAGTCCTCCCCCACTGCGTAGAGTGAACATAATTAGATGGACAATTAGCAGGAAACTTTTACTTTACAGCCATCCGCTGCGATCACTTGCAAACTGCAATTCCTTTGAAGTTTGCGAAATATTTATCTCCGAGACTTCAGGCGGATCTGAGTCAAAATAAAACTTTAAAGCACAAAGACTGAGAATCATTGTCCATTTTTTACTTTGGTACCTAACGCACTTTTTTAATTTTCCTGATTCAGCATATTTTGAACGTAACATTACTTTTTTAAAATTAGTTTTTTTTCTAGTGGCTTTTAGAATCACTTCGTACTCAGTCAGCGCCTCTGTTATCTACGGAGTTAAATAATGCAACGATCCAGTGCGACTGTAATACAGAATCTAACATTGTTGATTTGGCAGCCGAAGATCATTAAGTATTGCTTAACTTTCCGGTAAGATAAGTTTTTCCGCTTCAATGCCTTATATCATTTGTTAATTACTGGTTGATTCTGAATAGTTTATTTCTCAAGATTTGCTTTAAGCATACATAAAGTTCTTATAAACTTTCACCAGTCTTCTTACTGTCGATATCGTTATTTTTACTCCTACTCCCGCTTTTGCCATTTATTATTGGAATTAGGGTTTTACTGTGACTACTCTTTTTTATCATTCAGTAAAGTTTTTTTGTACTTTTGTCCAGTTGAAGTCTACTCGAGAAGCAACTGTATTAAACGCTGAATATATAGTGGTGCCATATTTGGTGTTAGAAGAAACGATAAATGCTTAGTTAACGCTAATATAACAAATTATTTCTTAGTCAGTAATGGTTCCTAATAGTAGGGAAGAAGCTACACTAGCCGATTTCTGTTCTGACGAAGCGTTACAAATAGACCGCTAAACTTGTAAGAAAATAATATTGTTAGACTTTGTGCATCACAAGGACAGAAATAAAAATATATTTCTTTTACTACAAGTTATTCAAATTTGTTGGAAAGGACCTTTTAGCCAAGAAGTATGCGGAATGTTTCCGCCTAGCTAAACATGCATTTAAGTCAACGACATTGAAAGTCAGGAATGTCTCGAATACGACTCATCTGCTGCACAAAAAAATGACATTTAGGAAAACGTGTGTGGGAATAGGATTAAAGAAATATTGGTTTGAAACGTGACACAGTAGGAATTTGGACACCTTCTGGTTATTAGAGTACGGATTTCTACTGATCATGAATTAGTGTTATCTAACAGAACAGATTGAACCCTGATTAGAAATTCAGCCTAACAGCACTGTTACCAACTTCTAACCTTAATCCAACTAACAAGTTCTAAAAAGTTTCAGTGCTTTCAACAGTCGAGTTTTAGTTATAAAGTTGAGCTTACGCTGTAAAGATGACGTGCAGGCAAGCGATTTACTCTTTATTACTGTCGCCTGCAAAGTATGGAGAACAGTTTATTATTGCGCGGAAGTTGTTTGACTTTTAAAAACGATAATTTGTTCCAATAAAGCGTTGTTCACCGTCATTCTGTTTACAAAAGTGTTTTTCAATTTAATGGCACAGAAAATTTTTAAAGTCTTTTTCGGAAAACAAAAGTAGCTCATATTCAGTTTGATCTCTGTTTCAATTTAAGCTTACATTGGCTATTGGTAAAAGTTGAAAAGTACAAAAACCAGCGTGGAAAGAGCACTAAAATTATAGGTAACATTACAATAAAGGTTTTTTTCAACTAAAACTTGAGTAAAATTAAGACAAAGTAAAAGTTTCACCCGTCAATTTTGCCCTCATTTCAACACTTATCATTGAACAACATCAAAAATACTTAAAATTTAGAGCCCAAAAAAGTTTTTTGCCGTAAACAACCATGATAAACAATAGCTGGATCTAAAATTCTTTGTTGAATTGCAAAATTATTATAACCTATTCACAAAATAATCATTTACTGTTAACTGACAATCAGTACCTTTAGTAAGCTAAAAATTCTCATCACCTGCTGTAATGCTAGCCTAAGGTTTCACAAAGCCTTGACGGTTGTATTGCAAGAATTTATAGCGGGCATTCATAAACGAAGTCAAAAAGGTAATTCTGAAGTCTTATACAGACAGGATTAATTCGTCAATGAGTAGCATTAATGCAGTATCTCATAATACTTTTACTGTTGTCAATTAACCTTTACTCGTCTGGGAATCCAAAATGGCAAAAATATTTGGCCTTTTCATAAATTCTTAAATTACTTTTCTCTTCCCTAATACTTTTCTGAAAAATTTAAAACTTGATTAGAATTTGACTGTTTATTTTGCTAGGTAAAGCTCTACCACTGAGGTGCTTCCAAGTTCTTCTCAGTGTTACTTGAAATTATTTTTTTCAAATTTGGTTAATCTCATCTGTGCAGTTATATGCATATTCAAAGATTTACACTAATGGTCGTTCCATTATCTATTTTTTGAAAAAAAATTGTACGGGCTTTTTCTCTTTCCGTTCAAAAATGTACAGTCCTTTCTAAATTTTGGGAGGTAAATTTTTATCTTCTGAACAGAGCCTCATAACATTACCGCTAGCAAAATGATTCTAGTAAATGAAATACACATTTACCCATCAAACACTGATTCATCCGGCAAGATCTATAGGGTCGCCGATCTCTTTGAACAGTTTTCTTATATTAATTTTAAAAAAAAAGGACTGCACTCCAAAAAAGGAAAATTAGACATTATGTACGCAGAAAATGGAGACCCATGAATGAAGAGCAATTTTTCTCTTATAAACTTGACCTTCTGTCCTCAAAATCTTTTGAATATACCTTATAATCATTTTCTTTGTCTTAACTACCTAGAAGTTGCTTCCGTCGAGGACTGCGAGAAAGTGATAACGACCTAGCAGAAGAGTAAACAGTACAGAAATTGAAAATTCTAGGTTGTTACAAGTAGAACAGTTAAAGTTTGCCCATATCTCTTGAAAGTTCTTAACTGAAAACCACAATTTGCAACTTCAACAACTTCAATATTGCAAAGCACTGTTACTGACAACGAAAACCTTGGGTCTTTGTGCGCTAAGACTAATTTTCAAATAGTACAAAAGCTTGCTTTTATTGTTACTTCTCGTTTTGGCTGCATTTTCACAGTAACAAATTCAAATTCTTTTTATCCAACCATCTGGCAAAAAACGGAAAATAAACTTAGTTATTTTAAATGACAGAATAAGCGTGAATTAAACATTGTTAATCAGAAAAACGGTTCAAGGATAGTTGTATAAGAGGTTATACAAATCTCCTCGTATCCAATCAAACTGTCAGTGTCATTTAACTGGTTGGTCTGAGCAACATTTATAAAGTCAAAAAGTTGTGGTATAAGCGCACTTTCTAGCAAGTTACCCTTTAAAAACTAGTTGTAATTTTTTTTTATTCTCTCCTTCTCCGACTTTATCCACAAAGTCCCTGCAAAAATTTTTCCCAAAAAACTTGTTTGCAGAATGCGGGAAAAAAGACCGCTGTTTCAAATTTGGCCGATCCTGCTGTATGATACAACATCAGGAGACTCCTGCATGAGTTTTTCAGCGTAAAGTGCACTTCTCGCAGAAGTGCTCTCAGAAGTTACAATGGTAGCAAAAGTTGTATTGATTAAAATACCTGAGACAGCTGCAGTTTGTTTTAGAGGCAATTGAATTTTGAGCTGCAGGAAATTTTTTGCGGGAAACCCGTTCAGCCAGGAAGAAATATTCATTTCTTGATATTTTAAATATTTCGACTTAAATTGATGTGTTTCATTCACTGTTGCTAATTAGACGACTCATTGCTAGATGTGACTGCAACGTGATATTCAGTAAATCTTAGCTCCAGCATGGTAGAAGTTGGTGAGGAAAGCAGAGGAAAGATCTCATTTATTTCAAGTGATGTCCGACGAAAGATCAGTACTGGTCAAGTTGTTGTTACTCTGGCAGGTGCATGCAAGGAGCTTATTGATAATGCGTTGGATGCCGAAGCTACAATAATTGGTTAGTTTATAAGTTTCTACGGAAAATGTTCATTAGTGACCTGTAAAATTTTTGTTAAATTACAATGCTGTAGGTTGGAACTGGTCTGATTTGGTTGTTGTAAATGTGTTTCGTCCTTTATCATTTGCGAGTTTTCAAGTCATCTTCACTAGGAATCAGTTATACCACTCACTTTTTCAATTTTTTCGATGAAGTGGGCTGTTTTATTATGGAATATTTATTGTACTGCAGTTTTTTACTGATTACAATGAATTAAAGTTTCATTCTGATCAGGATGATCTAAATTTTAAAGTTTAATTAATTTTTTTATTTTCTATTTGGTTCAATTGGTCGTATAACGAGAATTACTAAGTTACGAATTTCAGAAGTACGTGTTAAGAATTTTGGTTATGAGCTAATGGAAGTTAATGACAATGGTTCCGGCATCAGATCTGATGACTTTGATCAACTCTGTAGGTGGCATTAAGCGTAATTTTCACTGCTACAGCATCAAATTTCTTCGTTGTTGTAATTTAGAATCGGGAATATAAATGTTTAGGTAAACCTCACGCAACGTCAAAGCTAGGAAATATTGGTGATTTTTCATCTCTTACAACGTTCGGCTTTCGCGGTGAGGCGTTAAACGCTCTATGTGCTCTAAGGTTCGTATTTTGAGCATCAAAAATTCCTTCAAATTCCTTCTCTTATTTCGCACTCAGCATTTCAGCTATAGTAGGATTCTTTAATAGGTTTTCATAATCAGATTTTCTTCAGAGTTCAAAATTTCTTTTAGTTTGATAAGCATAACAACTCGTCATAAAAATGAGGAAGTTGGGACTCGGTTGATTTTCGACCATGGCGCTAAAATTATATCAAAAGAAAGCTGCGCGTGGCCGGTATTAGATCTCGTTTTTTGAAAATACTTATTTTATTAATTTTATTTCAAGTTTATTCGTGGCTATTGGTGGCATAAGGCTGTTTTAATTTTGATGTTTTCAAGGTTGGCACAACAGTTTCTGTAAGAAGTTTGTTTGAACCACTGCCTGTCAGGAGGAAGGAGTTGGAACGAACGATAAAAAAAGAGTTTTTTAAGCTTCTGACGACAGTACAGTCCTTTTCATTTTCAAGGACCGATGTACGGTTCTGCGTCACCAGTTTCTTAAATGGGTATCTCTTTAATTGACATATCTTAGACTTTTAGTTTATGAATGAGTTTACGTTAGCTGTCTTGCCAGTGATTAACTGCTAGACAGCTTAAGTTCTACTTGTCTACTTGGGCATGTTACAAATGCTTGTTTCAGAAAAAAACACCAGGCTTTACTTTCTCCTGGAGGAAATGCCTCTATAAAAGACGTAATCGTTAGTTTATTTGGTGCTCGAGCTGAAAGAGGAGCCATTTTGGAAATTGTGCAAGTAAACCCTGATGAAGAAGTCTGTTCACTCTATTCAGTCCCTCCTGAAACGAACTTCGATGACATCCGGTAAATTTTTTCGTCTAACTGCTATGCAAAATCTTTCTCAATGTTGAGATGTGCGCTGAATCTGGTTTTTGCTTTGAGTCAATTTGCTAATTTTTCAGACTCTCTGGGTATATTAGTTCTTGCGAGCACGGCCATGGCAGGAGTAGCAACGATAGACAGTTCATTTTTTTCAATAAACGGCCAGTGCACTACCCAAAGGTTTTTTTTAATAATTATTTTTGTTTACTGCTATATTTTCTTCGATCGCTCTGTTGGTAATCACTGATGCTAAAGAGAATGCTCCTCTGTCCAAATGGAGGTTGATGGTTAAGCTTTTTTACGATGAAAATTCACTTATAATCTGTTGCGTAGATTGAGCTAAGTGGAAAATTTTCTCGAAAGAAAGCTGGTTGCGTTAGTTTTTATTAAACGACTTTAAATTTTTTGCTTTTACCGTTTTGGTATGGTTTTAAGAAAATTCTTTGCAAAGCTTTTTTTCCTTGATGTTTGCTTTTAAAATAGCGATTCTTTGGCAGTTTTGGGATTAATTTTTATGGCAGGTACTGCACATAAAAAGTGGACCTTCGTAAATCAGCACTTCTTTTACCAGCATAATTAGTTCCCCATCACTTTTTAGTAATTTTGATCTTGCTCACAAAACTTTCTTCTTATTATAACATTGACACAAACACACACAAAAAAAGAAAACCTTTTTACACTTTAATGAGAAAATTTTGAATACAAAAATAAAAAAAAGAAATGGTTAGAGCTGGGGAGGAAATAAATTTTATTTTGAAAATTTATGAGTGTTAGGCAAGCAGTTATTTAGAAGGCTAGAAGCAAATACAGGGTAATTCATTTTCTCAGATTACAAAAAGAAGAATGAAAGTTGTTTTTAAAAGTTCATTTATTTCACTGAAATAGAATTTAGTTAGAAAACCAAGATTGGATTTTTCTGTAAATAAGATGACTTAAGTTATTAATTGCAGCTTTGTCGGATCGCTAACGAAGTTTACCAGATGTATAATTCTGGGCAGTATTGTATGCTCATACTGTTTGTTGAAGCACCTCCAGGTATACTCCTTGTCATTGATTTGTGCTCTAGCTATGGATGACTTCGTTCTCCAACAGCATTTCTGCTCTTCTCAAAACTTATTCTGATCTTAGGCCTAATTGACGTGAATGTTTCTCCTGATAAACAGATGGTTTATTTCGAACGCGAAAAAGATTTATTCGCTCTTCTAAGATCTTCTTTACTGGCTACATTTGTTCCACTGCTTGGTTGCACGCAGTCTGTGCCGACAAACAAGGCCTGGGAGAAGGAAAAACAACTTGGTTGAATGTTATGATTTACTGTAGATCCTATTGTACGCTTAGCTTCAAAAGTTTTCTAAAACTTATTATTTTTTTTTTATTTTTCACATATTAAGAGCAGGAGACATTGGATTCCCAAACACCATCTGATGCTTCCTTTGAAACAGCGACCCATTCCTCCGCTGAAACAAACTATGGTACTTCAAAATTGTCTTCTTCGCAATTTACATTTCCAAGCGGAAATCCAGCAGAAGTCAAGTATTTGAGTAATTGTGAGCTATCGTTTTTCAAAATTTTATTAATTTTTTAACTATTCCTTTATCTCATTTTTCTTTTTTTTTATTTTTGTAGTGTTGTTATTGTAAGCCTTCGTAGAATTGAGTTATAAGTTCTTTATCCAAATTTGAGTTGACACATTGTTCCTGTCAGGTTTTGGTTGTTTTAGTACCTGACAGCGATTAAAAGACTACTTCTGTTCAATTGTCATTTCCAAATTCTCTTTGGAATAAAAGTGTGCTTAGTGAATTTGAAAAACGCGGAACCGACTCGGAAACGCCAGGCTGAAAGTCCTGAAAAGGATCTGCAAGGTTTGGCATTAAAACGCGGAGTAACAAATAAGCTAGAGGACTTTGCTTTTAAAGTCGTTCCTCATATTCCAAGCAGTGCTGTTTCTGCTGGTAATCTTGATAGTGGTAGTGCTGTTCAGGATTTGCCAAGTCAAGTCAACAGTGCAATGAAGGTTGGCATAAAAATTTTTTTAAATAATTTCTCCAATATTTCAGTAAACTTATCTTAAGCGATGGGGAAGAGGGGGTTGAGGGTGCTAATGGCGTGAACGATACTATTAATATAGTAAAGTCAACCAGACTGGTTCCTGTGTAGTGCGTTCTTCGCGAAAATGGTACTCTTTTATAGTAAGCAGTGTTTTCTCTCCAATTTCGAGATAGCACTGGGAGTTACCTAAATAACTTTAGGAGTGAAAAGACGTGAAAAAACTGAGTAAGGGTTGAGAACAGTTTTTGTTGAGATATGGTAATTGGGTAGTATGCGTTTTCAGTTATTTCTGAATAGGTGCGCTTTATTAGTTGTTGTTAAAGTCATTGTTCTACTGGTTAAATTGTAGGAAAAAAGCTTCATATGTTGTGAGAAGCTTTTATTGATTTTTTTTTGTCTGAGCTTCTTGTTGCTGTTATTTTAGAGGAGAACTTTTGACGAGGGGAACTCAGGAAGTACAGTTTGCCTTAACAGTATTGTGGGGCAAACCACAAAGTCTGATATGTTTCTGCCAGTTGATGATGACGAAGATTTTTGCGAGCCTGAATCAGTCTCCCACTCTAAGAGTATCCGGCCGCATTCACGAGAAGTTTTTGGGAATTCTTCGCCAATCGTTCAAAATGTTTCTTTTGATTAATTGGAGCTAGCGGTTTCTAAACGATTTTTTAAATCATGATTTTTGACTGGAAATGGGAAGACTGCGAAGCATTAAGATTTATTTGTAATTTTCTTATGGCTAGCGTTAGTTACTTAAAACTTTTTTATCAGTTTGCTTTATTTTGGATAATTCTGAGCATCTACTGAGTTTCTTTTTTTATCGTCTTCGTATTTTTAGCATTCGGACGTAACAGATAATGATGAGAGCTCTCATGAACGAGTGCGAACTCAGCAGACAATAGTTTTTTCTATTGAGAAACTAAAACAACGTTTAAATGAGGTTTGTTTCTTTCACATAAGTTTACGCTTACTGTTTTTGAACACGTATCTCTAGTGTTGTTTATAGTTTGATTTTTTTAAGTTTCGCAGTACCAAATTTTTAATATGCTTTGGTGTTTTACAGCTGCATAATAATCAGACAGTGGAACAAACTACAGATAAGTGTAAGTCATCAGTTGAACGGGCCTGTTTTGTTGCAATCGATCCGAAAGTCGCTGAAAACGAGCTGAATGCAGTCATTTCGTATGCTTTTGGTTTGTGTGTTAGTGGAGTTGACATCACTAGGAACATACTTTGGTTCGATATAGTCTTTTCTTCTTATGTTAAGCAAAATTCATTAAAATCTCTTTTGATGTTTATAAGACCCGTTGCTATCTTTAAAAATACTGTTACAATGCAAACCAGCTCCAAATTTCTTTGCTCTGAATACATTTTTGAAACAAGAAATTCTTTTACGTGAAAGAGTTCATACTTATCTGTATTAAAACAGTGTTGCATTACTTTCCAAAAATATTTTAAGTTTTTTAAGTTTTTCTTATTAATTCGTTCTTGTGGCACTTACGTAATTAAGTAGGACTCTAAACTGGCATATTTTTGGTTCCATTTTTAGAAAGGACGATTTTGAACGTATGGTTATAATCGGGCAGTTTAACAAAGGCTTTATAGTAACACGTTTGCATGGTGACCTTTTCATCGTAGACCAACACGCGAGTGATGAGAAATACAATTTTGAGAGGTTCCAAAAGAAGGCACGAATCCAGTCACAAGCCCTGTTAAGGTATAAATTTGTGTACGGTTAAAAAGTTTATATTTGCATACTATTTTTTGTTTCCTCAAACAGACGTTATGGAGAAAGTTTTGAAATTCAGGCCATTACCCCTGGGTCTTGGAGCGTTTGATGAGTCTCTACTGCAAGATCACCTAGAAATTTTTAACTACAATGGTTTCGAGTTTCAAATAAATGAAGAAGGTATGATACAAGACTTCAGGTTTAATAATGAGACATTTGGATGCAATTTTTGAACTTTTATAATTATTATACAAAAAAATTTTGTAGGGGAACCTGGGCACAAAGTTCTTCTGACGTCAATTCCTGTACTTCACAACTGGCAATTTAATACTTCTGGTAAATAATCTCACGAGTATTTTGGTTCTGGAAAGATGGATTTATGGAGCACCGATTTTAGGAAAGGAGGATGTAGCAATTAAAGTTAAAAAAATGGATTATCCAATGTCCTTCTTTTTAGACATTGACGAAATGCTTTCTGTACTTCGTGAATTCCCGGGTACCATGTATAGGCCGGCAAAACTCCGAAAATTGTTTGCTCTTCGTGCATGTAGGAAGTCAGTGATGATCGGAACTGTGCTAACTACCTATCAAATGGAAAAAGTCTCTTTTTATTATTTTACTTTATTTTATTGCTTGTTTTTTAAATTATTTCTTTTTTTTTTTTTTTTTTTTTTTTTTTTTT